GCGCCACTCAGCCGGCCCTATATTTTATTCTTAAATACCTTTGTAGAATCACACTTTACTATAAATAGCTGACACTTAAGTTAAATATAATTTGTTTTCCCAAATACATTAGCCCATTAGTTAGTATCATAACCTTGTTAAAACTTCTTTAAATTTCCTTGTTTCACTGCCAGAAGAGCTTAGGCAGGTTGGAACATTTGAAAATATAACTAAGTACTTTCTCTTCTGGGTAACTTATTAGAAATATTACTTAAGATTAGTCTTTGATACAGATCTTTCGGAGAACTCATGATAGATACTTATATATCCAGTTATTCTTCATAAATATCCAGGTTTGTGTTAGTTTTAAGCTTTCTAATTCAGAATTCAGATCTTTGCCAATTGTTTCTTCCCAGAAACCTTAAGACAGCTGTTTAGGTTGCCTTGGAGGCTATGGCTACTCAAATGAATGTTGAAACCTAGTCTTTCTCTGACTTGGCAGTTACAGATGGGTTATATTGAGATCCTTATGACACCAACTGTCAATAAACCCTTTACTATGAGATGACAGGCATATGGTGGGAGAATATCTAGCTTTTGAGCCTGCTCTCGAACTACTAGTAGAACCATGCTTGCTGTGACCATTGTATATTTGTTCATGGTTCAGAGCCCAGCTGAAGCATTTGTTAAAGTGCCGTTATGAAATCCATCTTCAACTACTGGCATTTTGTTTGTTTGATTGTAGTTATTACTCTGAAAATATCTTACAGTAGAGTGAAACCACAAACCAGAATCAGTGAATGAAAGTAAGAAAGATTATTGTAAAACTATTTCCCAGGCAGTACAGAAAATGGAAGTTATAAAAGCTTTTATGTTCTTCCTTTTATATCAGCATGTGTAGTTTCATGTTACACGCTTGGTTTTATAGCTGATTTATATGTAGTCCTTTGAACATAGAATTGTCTTGTGTCAAAAATTGTTTGATTTAACAGCTGTTACATTAAGAAGGAATTCTGAAGTTTGTTCTTCCACATGATTTGCATTTTATTCTAGACATGAACATGAAACGTATGTTTCCAGTCCAGCACAATTGATAAGAAGGCAATTCCAAAAGACTAAGCCAAATTTGGGAAGAGCACGTGGTAAGAAAGAGGAATTAGCTATGGAAAAAGACAGAGCAGATCAGACTGAGTCAAGGAAGCCAGAAGATAATTTGCTGCAGCAAGGAGATCCTGACACCCAGCTCCTTCAAAAAGTAAGTTTGAAAAATATAATTTTTATCAGTGGGCTGTATTTTGTCAGGATTGTGAGGGAGAGCAGAGCATTAAAAACATACATAGTTTTGCCTTTTGTGTTGTTAACTATTTTCTTGAAAATTGAGTGACTTCTGAAGATTATAAAACTTTAGAAACCAGGTGTGTGTGTGTGTGTAAGATCAGAGCTTTAGGCCAAACTGTCAAACCAAAAAATTGGTTTACCATAAAGATTGTTTCCATGGTAATATTACTTGCTGTTTCTTCTTAAATTTAAGGAAAAGGCTGAGCTTCTGACATCTCTGGGAGTTTCAGCAAGAAAAGATTGTGTAGATTCCAAAGAGTTTGGTTTGGCCAAAAAACATGCTCAATCAGAAGTTGGACCATCAGCAAGTGTTGGACAGAAAACTGTAGGGGATAATTCTGTGTCTTCAGTTGTTGAAGAGCAGCATCGCAGTAAACTAACAAGGTAAAGTTTTATTTAACAGATACGTTCAGAATAGGAAATGAAAACGTATTCTTTATGGATGTCCTACCTTCATTTATTAATAGAGTAAAATATGGCATGTATAGATTGTTTTTTTTTGTTTTGTTTTTTATTTTTAGCTGAGCCATCCTGCTACCTGTTGGCAGCTCAGTGGCTGCTCAGCTCGGGATGGACTCAAACCGCTGTTGCTCAAAGCTCAAACTCTTGAGCGAGTTCTTAACCAACTGAGCCACTCGGCCAGCCCTTAGATTGTGTTTTTATTGACAGGTCTGTTTCCCCTTTTTGATTTTTATTTACTAAAATTAACTTTTTCCTGATCCTCTTAGGAAGATATTCTTTTTCCTACATTTAAAATTTCTGGGTGTTGAGTATATTAGATGTGAACAGAAGCCTGACCAAAGAGTAGTGCCTAAATAATTTGAGTGCTAATTCAAATGGGGTCACATGCACAAGTGAAGGGTAGCCTTCTTCCATAGTTTTCAAGGAAAGTGGAAGGGAACCTAGATTCTAAAAAACAATATTGTTCTGATGGATTTTTCTGCCTCCCCTTTTTCTTTTATCCTAATGTATTTACCCAGTAAGATAAACCATTATCACTTCTTGACCCCATATTCTGTATGTATTGGCTCATTGTACTTTATTCCTTTTTCTTCTGATAATTTCCAGTCTTGTATTTCATCTCCACTTAAATAGCAAAGGGAAAAATGGCCCAGAAATAAAAACTTCCTGTGGAAATTTGTAGGTAGATAACTAAGAATTAACTGAATGAGAAACTAATAGTAAGCTCCTTTCTTCTGGAAATTTTCATTTTAATGGCTTCAACTGGGATTTCACTCTAAAAGATTGATTATCATTAAAATTATCGTTGTGCATGTAGTGACTATATTGTTGTTTTGATTAAACATCCAGCTGTTCACAACGACTAAAAGAATCAAAATACTCTAAAATTGCTTTGAATCGAAGAACAACTGTCTCTTCTGCCTCTGGGTGTGAGATAGATCATAGTGAAAGGAGAACGCATCGAAAGATCAAACCGAATGTCACCAAAGGGCGGGGGTCCAAACGAATTCGGAGTAAGACCTCTAAGAAAGAACCTAGAGCTCCCAAGTCCATGCTGGTGACTCTTCGGGCTTCCCAGCAAGAGGACGAAGATGATGATGAAGATTTAGAGTCTGACTATGAAGAAGAAAGCTATCATCTTGCTCCAGAAGAAGTAAACAAAGCTCCAGTGTTTGTACCTTTTGGTCTCAGATCTCCTGAACCTGTTTCTGCTCAGATTGAGGAAACAATGGAAGAGGTAGTTTGTTTCTTTGAATGCTTGGAACTTTATCTTACTTGTATGTTTCTTTTAGTGGATCATTTTTTCTTCTCTTAGTGATTATTAGGATTTGTAGAGTTTGTTCTCTAAATAACCTTTACCAAATGTACTTTGTCTGGGGCCTGGTGGATAAGCCTAAGGAATCAAGAGTAGGCTTGTGTGATCTGTGATTACTCAGCTCCTACAGCTCAGGCTCAGCACAAGGTAACCAGTATAACAGTAGTGAAAGAAACCTGATGTCATTTGTATCTGTTCTACTCTGATCAATTAAGAAAATTTTGGCAGGTATTTTCTATTAACTCTGTATGGTAGGATCAGGCTGCGGTCTGATTGGTAGAGAAGGTAGAAGGGACATTTAAACACAATTATGGTAAAATACACATAAAATTTACCATCTTGACCATTTTTAAGTGTATAGTTTAGTGGCATTAAGTACATTCATATTATTGTGCTATGCCATCATCACCATCCATCGACAAAACTTTCTTCATCTTGCGAAACAAAACTTAGTACCCATTAAACAATAATTCCCCCTCCCCTCTAGCCTGTGTTAACCACATTCTACTTTTGTCTCTATGACTTGATTCTAGGAACTTCATGTAAGTAGAATCATACAGTATTTGTCCTTTTTGTGACTGATCTGTTTCACTTAGCATAATGTTTTCAAGGTCATCTGTGTTGTAGCGTGTCCTTTTTAAAGCCTGAATAGTATGCCATTGTATATTTATACCACATTTTGTGAACAGTTGGGTTGCTGCCACTTTTTGCCTATTAGAAAGATTGCTTCTATGAACATGGGTATACAAATATCTCTTCTAACTCGTGTTTTTAATTTTTGGGGGGGTTATACCTAAAAGTGGTATTGCTGAATCATATGGTAAATTGCAAATCTATTTTTAATTTTTTTTTTTTTAAAGATTTTTATTGGGGAATTGGGGGAAGGGGAACAGACAAGTTGAGTTGCTGTCATTTTTGTTCTTCAGTCTAGTTGTGGAGGATGTTGCTTCACTGGCCCAAGTTGGCACCATCATTGCGCTCTTCCCGGGTGAGGCACATCAGTCGCC